ATTGATAAGTCTTTCGTAAGATCCCAGCAGGTGATGTCAGTTCCTTCGCTTCCGAACCAGATAGAGATTGTTTCTTAAACAGCAAGTGGACAATGTTGTTGCTGATGGTAGTTGTGATGGTGCTTTTACTGATGTTGGTGAGTTATGAGTTCTGTAAAGGACGTCTGACCCACCCCCGAATTATTGTATTGTTAGAAATGTTATAGTTTGGCACATCCCAAATTTCTCATTTGATTTTCACTCCCTTCTCAGTTGCCTTAGACCGATTAAAGTAACTTTATCAATGATTGATATATTATTTCTCCTTTTTGGGGAGAGCAATGATGGATACATAATGATAAATTAGGCACTCATACAACTTAACACCGTCAGCAATAAGGCACTCATACTAGGGCAGTCATACAACTTAACGCAGTCACTACAGAGCAAACATAACAACGTCACAAACGAAACACGCAGAATTCGACTCTTAAAATACAATAAGAATATTGTCAGCACATGAAAACATTAAAGTATTGTCATAAGTACTAAAAACACCTCTCTGTTATTTAACTTCTGTTTGCTTTTACGATTTCCGTGCGGGCAGTGACACTGGCGTTTCGCACTTCGCAGTGGCTGTGGTGGGTTGCCACGTTCTAGCTCTCAGACTTTTGAGAAAACACGCATTTTCTAAGAGCTGGTTTATTCCGCAATCACTTGCAGCGATATAGCTTCGATTTTCATTACAACAAACAGTCTTGCAGGAGACACCATCGTTTCCGGGAATTCTCCCAGTCTTAAATGTCGCGTGATGTTCGCGCTGACATGCTTGATGGTGACCTTTCGGAGCAGAGTGACGAAACTTGTATCTAATTGAATGCTCGCTTGTCCCAGACTTTTCACGTTTAATCCGGGCGATTTTGGGAGAAAGTCTTGGACGCGGAAAAATAAAAAATTCGCGAGCTTAGATTCCGTTAGTTTCAAATAGGGCATATAAACAATTACTTAGTATTAATTTGATACTTGCTAATTACTTTGCCAATTAGTTAGTTGCTTACACTTAAATTGGTAAGTGTGAATTAGCGGTCTCAAGCCAAAGAAAATTGAAAAAGAAGGTGGAATTCTTCGATTCAAAATCCAATGAAGTTGTCCAAGTAAAATTAACTTTTTCTAATGACCATATTAAAGTATGCTATTATTGAAATTGCAACCTCACACTAACCCACTTGCTCGCGTCAGACGATGAAACGACTGCTTTCGGTAGATGGATTGCAACAAGCACTAAAAATCGATGTAATGAACAAATGACGGCAGATAACACTCATTCTATTCATCTTAAGATTTTTTAAATATTCAGTGTTTATACTATAAAACTGGTTAATATGAGTGAGGTATATAGATAACTGTACACAAATAAATTTTAATCCAAATATTGACGAATCATTTGGAAGGCCTAGAATTCCATTTTCAATAATGGTGTGGGTGAGGATAGAAAAACGTTTATTTGATCAATTTTCGATAATTCAAATTTTAATTAAAGTCGGACATTGACTATATGTGTAAGCGTAGTTTGCTCTCTTTGAGTAAGACGTTTTTACATGAACCCTCAAAACATGAATTCTGACTATATTATGTATTAGGTGAAGTTATTTACTATTATATGAACAAGAGTTATTCAGTTTTGCGGAACCGGGTCCCCGCAAAAAGTTATTCTGCCGATTTCTCTGGTACTATTACAATCCTTATCCTTCTTATAAAGGCGAGAAAGTAAAAAAAAATGGCATTTCGTCGACCCGCAAGTTAAACCTAAGCAGAGATTATTCGTTTGGGAAAAATACTGTGTGTACTTTATTGTTGGTATTTACTGACGGACAGACAGACGGTTGACTGCACGGACGTTTTCGAAAACAACCAATTGTTTTGGTACTAAAGAACCGCAAAACATGTATTTTCGTCAAAATCTCGAGAACTAATTTTTGCAGCATTACATAACATTCTCTGTTCAGAAAGTAAAAATATAGATAATGTTTAGTAACTCTTGTTGTCTTGGATTGACAAAACTGAGCCACACGTGATCAATCGGAAGAGGAACAATGATTTCCGGAAGGCATTTGCAATTACAAGCGGACCTAAGAACCTACTTTCTGACCAGATTACACGAAGTGTTGGTATCATACTCCAATGAACTGGCAGTCATTATCTGCCTGCGAAGTCGGTAAAACTCCGCTGAGATGAGGAGAAAGTCTGAAGTAGCGTCCGAGCGATTAATTAGTGGAGGTTTCGCAAGAATATGTGCGGCTACGCCCACCAGTGAGGAACAGAGGGTGGATTCACCCACTTACGTCACTGTTAGCTACGCCCACCAGTGAGGAACAGGGGGTGGGTTCACCCGCTTACGTCACTGTTAGCTATCCTCCGATGTTGCACTTTCCATCGATAGCAAGCCGCCCGCACGCCAGGCAGAACTGCACACTTTATCATGAAATGGAGCTTTTGATCTTATTACATAATTTTAACGAATTTGTCGAGAAAGTTCCTGCTAGGATAGCTACGTAGTATCTTTTCTTAAGTGTCAAGACTAATAGACCGTTATGAGCAGAACGTTTGAATGGAAGCAACGCTGTTTACTGGCCCGTTGCGAAGCAGAGAAACAGAGACTGTCCATTCGGATCGTTCGCACCACACTCCCATCGAGGAGATAATTTCTTCGTAAAAGCAGCGCGTGACATGGCATGCAGGAATATGGTATAGATTGAATTAATCCATTTCCCCGTCTAATTGTAATGACATACCTGGGCACGCGGGTACTTCAGCTATGTAATTAAAATTACAAATAATACTTTATTTCATAAGATGCAAGGGGATTATTGTTTTTGGAAACTCTCCTGAACAAAGGCGTTTTTGGAGGAAATTCCCCTAAACATTGTGCTCAATGGAGATTACTGACATTACATTCTAACAGCACCTCCAATTCATAAAAGGTCGTTATAAATGTCATAAACATTTGTAAATACAATTCGCCATTATCTTCTCTATATTATACTCGTAATACGCCAAGGAAAGTTTACATTTTGGCACAATTGATACGATCTTACCGCTCCAAATTGGACACGTCTCTGAAGCTATTTTCACTTTTAAAATAATAATTATGAAGTGTGGAATGTTTGCATGATCCCAACGAGTTAAAAGTAAAAGCAATAATCCACTTGCAGCTTTAGGAGATAAAGTATTATTTGTATTTTAATTACTTTTCATAAGTAATCGCATGCCCGGGTATTTAATCACAATTTGACGGGAAAATTGATTACTTAAATCTGTATCGTATTCTTGCACGCCATGTATCGCTCCACTTTTACGAAGATAATATCTCCTTAGTGGGAGAGTGATGGTATCAATCCGATTCGACATTTACTCTGCTTTGCATATGTATACTCTTGTCACTATTTCACCGTTTATTTCGACATACACCTTCGATAGCATTTTACGCAAGCCCTAACAATAAATTTTGAATCGTAGTTCAAGTATAGTTCCATTATATTAACCCAGACTTGGCCTGCTTATTGTAACAGTTATTTAGTTGTAGTGAAAATTGCTAGACATATTCGTTGGTTACCCAGGCAAGAAGTGTAGAGCAATTGTGTATTTATTAAATATATTCCCTATAACTCAAGGTTCGTACTGAGAAACACAAATACAGAGGTCATAGAAGTCTAAGTTTTAGAAGATTCGAATTTAGAGACTCAGGTGTGAAATTTTGTAGTGTGAATAATATAGAGCGGTATATTTGTCGTCATAATTTAATAGTTACGCAGAAAGTACAACTATTGTAATGCGTCTCATATTTAATCGTTTACATTTCCTAAAGTGAACACGCTAAGGCATACATGCTTAAGAAGTACACATTGTGACAGCTGATAAAGCATTTCTTTTCGTTTATCATTGTAAATCAGTAGTAGTTAAATGTTTGCGGTTAGCTAAGACAAAATCGATATGTGTGCCTCTAAAAATCCCACAATGAATGAGCAATGCCTATATCATGATTTTTAAACACCAGCCGAGTTATTGTCATGTGAAACGCAATTATGTAACAAAAAAAAAACGAAGAATGTGTACCTGGATTCAATGCTGAAAATCACATTAGAAGCCCTGTATGCATTAAAAAGGCCAGTTTTATTACTTTTGATAATATCATCTCGTGGCATGCAACTGCGTGTGCAGCCTGCGAGTGTTATTGAGGAATTGGACCGCCCCTCACACCGATGGTACGAGTCCCGAGATCGGGTCCAAGGGGATACCCTGAGAAAACAAGATGTTCTTCATTGCGTGGTAGGATTTTTTAAGTGCCCATAGATAGCAGCAGGGAAGAGGAGAAGGGGGCAAAACCGAAAAACTAGCCTAGACAGATGGGCAGGCCGACGTTTTTCTGTAAACTATTGGCACATAATACAAGTTTTTCGTCAAAAATTGCGTCATTCTGCTGCAGCATTACAACACTTTCTCTTTACTACGAAAGTACGTAATTTGGGGAAGAAGTAAAAATAAATTAATTCGTTCCGTCATGCGTTCCATTTGTAAAGAATATTAAATATATTAGGGTGTATTCGTTTCATTCTTTTTGAAGTACTATATCATCCAAAATACTATTTTTTAATAATATAAAACATGCCTGCCTAATTAGCGCATTAGTCTAAAGTTCCACCTTTTTATTTATTCACAAGAAAGACGAGGCAAATACATTCTGTATAATACGTGAGTTTCGCTTTGTGCCATGGCTTGTCCAACTCGTATGGCTTTTGATATCGGTCTTTTTGCGGTTTTTGCCTTCAATTGTTTCCAAGGTCTGCTCGATTCTGATGTTTCCTGCTCCTGTTATTGAAATTGCGGTGACGTTTATTGTATTGTTATGGGATGATGGATGGCGATTGTAAACAAGCACGTTTGTTGGCTGCGCCGACATTAGTGCTTTCTTTTAATCTTGTATGGAGCTGTTTTCTGTTCTTCACAACTGTTTTTGTTGGCAGAAGAGGACACTGGGACAAATGCAAGAAATCTGCGAGAGAACAAAAGAACACATTGAATGTGCACCACAATACATCTCATTCGTATGCTTTTAAATACGTGAGTATTTGAGCCTTTTTTTATTATTAGGAATAGAAAAAAAATCATTTTACGTTTCATTTGTAACGCTAACGTTTTTCTAAATTCGAGTTAAGTTACATAGAGATTTGTAGAGGAAATATATTTATCTGCACATTCACATCGGTGTGTGCGTAGTAAAGTTGAATAAAAATAATTTTGGGAAATGTGTTACTTTCTGTAAAACGTTTTTCTTAAAAAAATGTATGTGCTTACAAAATAGATTCTCTTTCCAACATTCTCTTTCCTATGCAAACAATGGCTTTCGTACCAACATTTATTCTTCTTTATTTAATATTACTGTTTTAATAATATAAGCACAAAGTGTAAATTCATTTGGAGTAATAACATTTGCATTATTAAAATAAATGTTATGTGATGATATATTATGAGCAACATTAAATTATTTCCATTCTATTATGAGAATTTTACGAATTAAGTAATTATTTCATAATTCATGTTGAAAAACTATCGTTGAAAAGACATATTTGAATAATTTTATATATTTTTTAACAAAAAATAGAAAAATTTAGTATTTGATCGACGGGAGGGGGGATGGCATTTACAATAACTTACATTTATACGTTGTTTGTTACATATCTTCTCCGTTTTTCCTTTCCTCTTCTCTTCTACTCTCTTCCACCTGCAACGTCCTTCATTCCCTCTCTAATGGATCTTCACACCGTTAGACAAATGTCAATGGTGCACAATTGTACGAACTACGCATACCATCGTCGCCACATCTAATGGATTGCTTGTGAACATCTTTTGAACAAGTGATTTTATGTGGTAAGAGTAATAATATCTGTGTCAGATAAATTCACGTTCTACTCGTATTTTATAAAAGCGCTTTTCTTGAAACATTTTCAAGAATTTAGATTTTTATGATTTTGCATTGATTTTTCTCTACGTAGTCACTAGCAAGAACATTATCCTTTTAACTACTGCTTTGTATTTTATAGGATTTTATGTTATTTTTACATGATTTTACTTCAAAAAATATTTATCTCTATTCGAGAAATGGTCTTCGGTTGTTCTAGTTTTTAGAACTTTTCCTAAAATATTTGTTTTAATGTAAAGGAAGTTTTAATATGTCAAAATTAAATATTACTACTAATGTTTTCATGAGTGGAAAACTAACCAAACATGAATATTAAAGACACTTCATAAATTTAATGTTAGGGGAATGAAAAAAGAACACTAAAACATTTTAAATGTTTTATCTATCAACTTCGTACGAAGACTTGCATATCAGCGTAATCCAGTCGAGAAAACAGGTACAACTTTACACACATTTAGTGACTAGATCGCGCTGCGTGAAGTGAAAGTGGAGGGAACCTGATGTGGCGATTCCACCGGCTGTGTCCGTCGCCCAGTGCTCTCGAGGGTGTCGATGAGACGGGCCGGCGAAATTCGCCTCGCGAGTGACTCCATCGCCCGGAAACGAGTTCTTCGGATTCCGCGCCGCGCCGCTGCCACCCGGCGCCGCGCCCCGCTCTTTTTTTGCCGCCGGCGGGGCGCTTTCTTCGGCGCTCTTGCTTCATTCTTTTTTTCTTTTCGGGAAGTATGAGAACTCGATCGACAGTAATATCGGCGTCGCGATATGAAAAACTACTGGTCATTAGAATAAATTATCGAGTCACTTTTCCATTGCTTCACTTTTTAACTTGATTTTATTGCTGTAGGCGAGAACAACTAAAAGTTGTTGTTGTTGTTGTTGTTGTTGTTGTTGTGAGTTAGTAACATTAGTATTTGTAATATGACTTTTACAGGCCCTATCTATGTTAGTTTATAATTGTAATATACTAATGTTCGAAATATTTTGTTCTATCTAATGGTAAGACTAAATTTGTCGAATATGAACATTCTTTGATCGTAACAATATATGTCATTTAGACACGAAGCACATTCTAGTTAATATGAAATACTACAAAGTTTTATGCTATTCATAGATTCAATATCTGAATTCGTATTAAGTTCACAACTTCACGTACTATTATTATATTAACAAGTATAAAACTCCAATTAATCATTGAGAATATGATTTATGCGACCAGCTTTCAAACGCATCGTTAATAACGGTTAGCGGGAATTATCCACAACGCCATCGCTCGTGATCTTCCGACGTTACGCGCTGCAACGGCATTCCCTTCACGCGCGAGGAGCCTCTACAGCTGCGCAGCTCAGCACTGGGTCTCCGGGGCGCCCGCCCGCCGCAGCCACGCGCAACACTCGCGTTCGAAGGAACTGCGTACCATAACGTTGTCTCAGACGAGTGTACATGTCCTGGAGGGTTGGTGTGATACTGAAGTGAATTATTGTTTTCGTAGGACTTTTATGCAGCGAACATACACTATATATTCGACCATACACTAGACACCATCACACTTGCGCGCACTCTGACCTGGGGGTCAGCAAAAGGGGGAGGTCCTCCACGACACGAGAGACAAGGAACAAACAACCATGCCCAAGATTGGACTCGAACCTGTGATCCTTCGGACCGAAAGGCTGAGTTGGTACACGCTCTTAGCCACCTCGGCGATCCAAGAAGGATTTTGACTCGTACCTTTCAGAAAATGATACGTTTGAAGTTCCAAACCTTTCAACCATCACGGTTGGTTCGGTCCGCGGTGTAGTTGTAAGATGGTTTGCATGGACGATGCTTAGCAAAGGAAGGACTCACCCTTCTGCGCCCAGTCGTCGCCGCGCACGAGGCCGTCCCTGTAGAGCGCGAGGTGCACCGCGCAGGCGCCGCCGGCGGCAGGCGGCGGCGGACCAGCGCGCGGTACGCGTCACGCCCGCAGCCACTGCACCAGACCGCGCCGGGCCGCGAAGTGGAAGTGCGGTCCCGCAGCACCTCGTCCACGTCCAGTCCAGGCTCGGCGTCGCCAGCGCGCCCGCCCCCGAGCGCCGCCAGCACACCCACAGCGGAGGAGCGCCATGCGCCGGGTAGCGGTTCGCGGAGGGTTACGCGGACGACGGAGCTCCGGAGTGAGATGCGCGCTCGCGAGTCATGCCTCCTCTCCCTCTCTCTCTCGCGCACTTGGAGCGCGCGCGCTTCCCGACCAGAGTCCAAACGCGACTGCGCGCGCCCGCCCGTTTCTCTGCGCGGCCTCCCGCCTCCGCCCCCACCCCTCCTGCCTTCCTCCTCCGCCCCTGCGCTGAACTACCACCGTACGCCACTCCAGCAAGCGACGGCCGCCCCGGGAGGGGAGGGGCGGCTGAATTATTACGTGTTTGTGTTTTTTACATAAGCCTTTACACTTGTTCCGCTGTCGTAATTGGGGGATGTCTTTCCGCTCAATGGCGCACGGTGGAAAGGCTGCAAATGATCCTACTTCGATTAGTTAGGGATTTCATCTTTGTAAATGTCACTGGCGTCAACGTGAATACCATTTCGCCGAGGAAACTTTATCCACCATTGTCTTTCTCCCTCTCTCCGTTAGGTTTTATTGGATACTAACGAGCCTCAGGAGGGGGGGGGTAGGGAGAAAAAATTACGATGTTATGTTTTTTGACAGGAATTTATATTAATTTTTTATCAAATATAGTAAGCGGATAACCTGAGTGTGACAGTTCGACACTCACGGGCAATCCGTTTACCGTCCACTGTTCAGAGCAAGCGAGATATGATTGGACACCTCTGAGTCTGCTGGAAGGAAACTGCCCATTTTTCTCTTTTCTTCTATATAATTCTTAATAATAATAATAATAATAATAATAATAATAATAATAATAATAATAATAATAATAATAATAATAATAATAATGCATTAACAGGCAAAGTAGATCACAGTAGAGACATCGCAAAAGGTGCGCATGCCATAAATGCATAATTCATGAAATGTATTTGACCACATAGATGGGTTACATCTTGGATTAATGCTTCGTCACCCCGGCACTTCTTAACGAAAGAATAGGAAAAACAGGACAACTCCTCAGGCGGCATTCGGTTGAGATTTTCCATCGCCGTAAATTGCGGCGCGTGCATAGGATGTACCTGAAGATGCAATGCAAACGAAAAACGTGTTTTTTGTGTGTGTGTGTGTGGGGGGGGGTAAGCATTTAAAAGCTCTTTTCGTCGAGGAATATTAAAGGTATCTGCAGATATTCTCAATCAATTTATCTGCATCTGCAGTAGAGAATCGATTGGCACGATTTTGGTGAATCCTTCGACAATATTCTGTAAGACTTCTACAAACTACTATTAATTACTATAATGCCTTTTCTTAATAACATTCAATCTAAATATACCAGATTTAACCTACAATAAAAGTGCCGAGCCGAAAAGTTATTCAAAAATAATTTACCATTTCTTATCACGATTAATTTTGTATTTAGTTCTTCCTGTTCTTCCTTTATAAATTGATTATTGTAAACCGCCTTTGGTAATACAACAGATAATGACAATACGTGTACAACGAAAGGAGGCTATCTTCCGAACAACGCTGTACGTGGCGTTCGAATGCGGTTCAACACCGTTTGCTTGGATCCGCACATTGCCGTCACACGAAAGAACTTCTGCGTCGAGATAGTGCGACAACAGTATTTTTTGTATCATCGATTCTCTTTCATATAATACTCTGGATAATGGCCGAGCCACTCAACTGTGGTAGGTATGTTTAAATTTCTTTGTATAAAGATTTTGCATGCTACAAATAATGAAACAAACTGTGCTTTTTTTTTTGTTTCAAGCTTAGGAGATGACTCCCTACGCTGATTACTATTTATGTTATGCAATGTTTTGTGTTGAATTAAAGGCAATTTTAAATATGCGCAGTATTAATAGTGTAAAAAGTAACATTTCTTGATGTTTAATCTCTCTGAGTTTCTCTCCGTAATTCACCTGAGATGCGAGAGGTTTCTTTTACTCCCATTTGATCCTAAATTCGTATCGTTCTCTCCAATATATCAAAATGGTGTATAGTATAGAAAATAGAAATAGCCTTTTCATGTTAAAAGTTGATAAAATTAATATTTTC